ATAAATATCACCTTTTAAATGATAAACTTAAAAAGGGATCTACAGGAACTAATTAAAAGTTTTTGAGATCACAAGAAATGAAACGTTAGTGTGTACGTTGAATAGATCGATATATGGACTAAAACAAGTCTCTCGTGAATGGTATCTTAAGTTTAATGATATCATCACTGCTTATGGTTTTGTAGAGTACCGTAGATCGGTGTATCTACATTAAGGTCAGTGGGAGTAGATTTGTTATTTAAGTTGCGTATGTTGATGACATATTTATAGTTGCTAATAATGTGGACATGTTGCACGAAGTAAAGTATTATCTCTCTAAAAAGTTATGAAATAAAGGATGTGGATGAAACGTCCTTGTTAATTGGAATATAAATATTCTGAATAGATCACAAGGACTAAAAGTTTATCCCATAGAAGTTTTATTTGAGAGATAATTGATGGTTGTTCCGTATAATTCCAATTCATAAAAGGGACACATTTAATCTAAAATAAATGTTCGAAAGGTGAAATGGAATGAAAAGTGATATAGGAAATTCCTTAGATATAAATGATTAGGAGTCTTAAGTGAGACGAACCTGTACTAGGTTTAATAATATATTTGTTGATGGTACATTAAACAAATATATAAAAGTAATCCCTAAATAATTATTTAAATGCTGCAAAGAAATTTTTTAAAGTATTTACAAGGCATTAAAGAACACATGCTAACTTAAAGAAGTTCCAATTTATTTGTTATAATTGGATACTCGGATTCAGACTTTTGCTCATAATGTCTAAAGGAGCAAGATTACGGAGAAGTGGAACAAAGTCCATCATCACGACGTCCACGATTAAGTTTGAGTTTGTGGTGTGCTTTGAGGCCACAATTCAAAATTTATGGCTACAAAACTTTATCTTAGGACTTAGAAATGTCGACATTTTTGTCAAAGACGCTAAGAAATTATTGTGGTTTTGTAGTAATAATATTTCAAGGAATGACAAGTATTCAAAGGGTTTGAATCACATAAAATTGAAATACTTGGTCGTAAAATATAAGTGAAGAAAAAATAAAGTGTCATTTGAGCATTTTAGTGCTATTGCATGAAAGCGAATCCATTAAAAGGGTTATTTCCTATAGCCTTTGGAAGGCATATAAAGAAAGTTGGGAATAATGAATGGGGTCTTGTTGGACTGACCGATACAGAATGAATTTGCTCAATTAATGATTTTGACTCTTATTGAATTCTATTAAAGATGTTTGGTTCTTCACATACAATATCATCATTATGGACAGTTGATTTAATAGTATATACATAAAAGTTGGATGACTTATGGTTATGGTACGAATAGTTTGTTCCATATTAAAGTAAAGTTGAATTAGAAATGATTTGTGGTACATGGAAGGGATCATGTCGCTCGAAGACTTGTGACCGCCATGACTTGGTTAATTTCAATTTTGATTTTAAACTTATAGATATATATATTCAATCATAAGTTTGATGAAAGATGCGCGCTTAAAGTAGTTTCTTTGGGTTTCGACACTATATGGTCCAAGTGAGAGAATGTAATAATATTTTTTATATTATTCTATTATTGTGGACCATATAATTAGTTGGACCTAATTGAATTAATAGTCAAACTTATTTAAGGTGAATATGTATGTAATGGATTATTAATGTTCTAATATTAAAGAGTCCAATTGTGATGTTGACTTGAACAATAAGTTAGGTTAGAACATGGGGAATGTTAGTAGGAATAGGTTTGTAGGACTCCTCCTATATATACTACATGCTCCTCTCTCCCATCTCATACGAAATAAAGTTCTCAACATCAAGAGCTTTGTGAATAGACGAGATGCGCGGGAAAGAGAAACAAAAACCCACGATCGGCCAGACATACAAGAAAACAGGGAAGGACTAATGGATTCTTGTAAGTTTCTATGTGCAATTTAATTTATGCAAAAGATCCATATTCTATGAATCGATAGAATTATATGTTTATGGTTTATTCAATTCCGCCTAATAGTTGTGAATATATCCGTTAAATTCTTACATACACAAATTCGCTTTGAATATATAGGGTAAGTCTATAGTCCCATTACGAAACCATTCCATTGGGATTTGTAACCGTTAGATGCACATGTGCATATAACGGTCTAACGGTTACAAATCCCAACGGAATGATTCCGTAATGGGACTGTAGCATTTTCCGAATATATAGACATCAAACCAATGTAGTATAACTGTAAGATATTAATGTTTGGGTTTATAAACTTCTACAAAAATTGTTATACTAAAGAAGCTTGTTAATTTAGTTAATTTAATAGTAAAATCTAATGTTTTGGGTTTATAAACTTCTACAAAAATTGTTACTTTTTATTTTTTAACATCAAATTTCATTAAAGATCTCATAGTGTACAAAAATTGTTACTGAAGTTGCCATTATGTTTTGTTAAACTGTATTAAGTATAAAATTGGCAATTGAAGGTCGAAATTCCTATCCCGTTCACGTTCGTCTATTAGCTCAATCTTAATTGGGTAAAACGCGTTACGTATTATTACAATTCAAGAGAAATGCTAAGGAGCCAATGGTTGGCTCCATAAAGGAGACAACCATTGGCTCCATAGCATTTCTCTACAATTCTATCGATAAGGACAGTGTTCCCATCGGATTTTAACTGTTAGATCGATACAATTGTATCGATTCAACTGGAAAATATTTGGTGAGATGGTATGGTCGAACTTCCCTGCATGTGCATGTGGTGTTGTATGAGACTTT